TCGGTGCCAATGCCAAACAATGTAGCATGCCCTTTACAAATTTCTGCCCGAGCGAATTGCATCTTGGTGCTTTTTTCCTCGCGAACTGTGCCCAACTGTCCCTACTCTACTGTGCAGTCGACAAAATCACAAACAAACAACGTGCATGGACAATACTAAAAATATAAATAAAAAACAAGTTATTCATTGCACCCTGTGTATGTGTGTGTTGCTCTGATTGTGTGTCTCTGCTTTTGCGTGTGTATGTGCGAATATAATGTATCTGTTTACTGTGTAACAGAATAATGTTATACAATTGTATGAAAGACGTGGAAACTGCATGTTGTATTGTTTTTGCATTTTCGTCAGAAGCTCCAATACGAACATTTCAGATTGTTTGTGTGTCAATCTAAGGACAGGGAAGAAGATTCGGAAACATCTCGATAGGTGTAGTGATGATTTCAATAGTAAGGAAGCTCGGATAATTTACTCTGATCATTCTAATAAAAATAAAACTCCCGAATTTGTTGATGAGGGCCTCACACTCAATCCGGGGGCCTACCCCAAGTGCCTTGAGGAGGTATGGCTGCCTCGGATCAAGAGGGTGGCTGCTAAAATACCACAGACCTGGCAACATAACTATGTGAATGCCGCACAAGTAGGAGAACCAGTCATCTATGGCAGGCAATTTCTGTTCAAAATCACTCCTTATACCTGGCCACCTAAATCCCCCATACCGCAATAGTCAGGATTATTGTGCAGCTCTAAATGCCTTGTAACACCAAAGAAGTCTTGATGGTGAGGATTATGGAGAATTCACCTAATTAAACAAGGAGAACGTACAGAAGAGATGCAGTAGACTTCGACGCCGTCTGGAGGCCATGGTTGAAAACAATGGCGATTTTATTGAATTAATTTATTCTTTTATATTTCTGTGTAATTTTGGTAAATATATCTGTTAAAATGAGATGTCACTGTTATTTTAATTTTTCCTGAATGTAGTCCACAAGTGATCTATCTATCTATCTATCTATCTATCTATCTATCTATCTATCTATCTCACTATATATATATATATATATATATATATATATATATATATATATATATATATATATATACCTGAAGTTGAAACAATAAACCTATAGAATAACACGTAATTATTAACTTAATATTTATTATATATTTTTCATTCTTCTATAATTTCTGATAAATATTCACCATATGAATTAAGTGCATTAACAAGGTAAATGTATGCTTTTTTTCATTATTAGGTTAATAGATTATCGATGTTCCTAATAATTGAAATATCAGTTATTTCCCTCCTAATTAATACACTCATGTATTTATCGATTTACCTAATCATCTATAACAAATAAAAATCATTAAGGGATTTAATTACATTCAATAATTTATTCCACTCTTCATTCTCTCAATTCTTTGTCGCCATTTGCATATTATTTTCCTCTTTTATTGCCCAGTTTTCATTCCGTTTTATTCCTGTTCCACCATTTCATCTTGCGTTTTTATAACTTCCGCAGAAGAGAGAAGTTTTGCAAGCTTTGATATGTAAAAGAGATATAAAACCAATTAGAAGGTAATTTTTAAATTTTCTTTTTTTTTAATTCATTTGACGGTTGATTTCTTTTCTTTTAGCGCCACTGCCTTCGTTTCCTTATATGGCAAAGTCTGTTTTTATATATTTCGTTATGTTTGAAAACTCGTACTAATTCTCACTGTATAAACAATATTATTCAGGCTTTCTCGGGGAGTTTCTGATTTACACTATTGAGTCACTTTTCCTCTTTAAGCGACAGCAAAATCTCTTATTTTTGGACATAAGAGGCCAACCTATAGATAGAGGTAATGCCCATAATCTGATAATTCTAGACTAAATAAGTTTATCTCATTAAAATATCTAAAGGATAATAAATGCGTTTTTGTGGATGTTTTAATTAGAAATTTGAGGTTTCTGTAGATTCATATATATAGGAAATACAAAAGACATTTAAGGCTTTATGAGATGAGAACATATTATATTGATGCAGACAAAACCAAAATATTAAGTAATTTTAAAAGATTGATAGTTTATACAAATGAAATTGATGAAATCCACATGAAAGGATTCAAAATCTAATTAGTGTATCAAACAGGTCATAGAAAGAAGATTGATGTTGACCTATATTGTCTTCTAGTAATAGAAATATTAGCCTCACGGTTACAAGTATTAACTCTAATATTGATAGAATTATCAGTGAAAAACTAATCTGTCCATCATTATATATAACAATCTATAATCGAATCGGGCTGAAGGCTTAAAATATTGCTTTCATGGTTGACGTAAGTTATCTTCTAAAATGAACTTATCTAATCCAATACATTCTTATCATCTAAAACAATATAGAAACACGTAAAAACTTGAAAAAATAATCTCATGTTTAGAAATATTACTTCCGGCCCTGAAAATAACAGTTATTCATCACAATTCAGAATCGGGTCTACACTTGAAAGAATCGTTCTCACTGTTAAGAAGATTAGCTGCTAAAATTAAAAATATATATATATATATATATATATATATATATATATATATATATATATATATATATATATATGTGTGTGTGTATATGTGTGTGTAGGACATTATTCGGGGCAGATATACGTACAATTACATGATGGAATAACTTGTTTTGTATCCGATAAAAGCTAAATTTAATAGCCTATCAGCAAATCGCAAATCTACAAAAGAAAGAATTAATTGTCAACTACGCAAAATTCGATTGCAAATATGAGATGCATTAATCCGATGGCAAACACTTCAACATCAATAGAATTATATTACATTTAACAACAAACATAGTATATATATATATATATATATATATATATATATATATATGTTATCGGTCTGAGGGGTCAATTCCAGCGTGCCGCACATTTGGAAACTGCCTGAAAATTTACCACGTGTCGAACTATGTCTTGTGAGTTAAATTGATAACGGAACCCTTGGTGCTGTCGATAACTGTGCTAGCACGATCTCAGTCATCGTATGAGGGCTAAAATACATATATATATATATATATATATATATATATATATATATATATATATATATATATATATATATGATAACGATAAATCAAGAACATTTTGGGGAGGAAAGATTTATGACAAAGTGGAAATGTTTTCGCGTGAAGGATTTTGCCTTTTAGGACTTAATCGGACTAAGTTTTTTTTTTTTGTAAATTAATGCGACTGCACGTGCGAATGAACGACAGATCCTTTGTAATTTAAAGGAAGAATTTTTTAAAAAAAGTTTTGTGTATATATTTTAGCCAATTTCATTTAGATTCGAATTACTTTTTTCTTTTTGCTTCCATCATCTTTTAATTATATATAACATTTTGTCATCAAAGAAAATCAATTAAAAAGGGTGAACTGCTCTAAGAACCTCGAAGCATATATATTGTTGATGAACTATAGATTAAATCAAATTCGAAATGTTTTGTCGTACTGAATTATTTTCATTTTTAATTATTGTAACATTTCTTATCTCAACATTGTTTTAAGTCCCGTTACAACGGGCAACAAATGCTTTTAATGTGTTTTTGTTTTCAAAAGATCTCTTTTGTGTTCACATAATCTTTTATCCCGGATTTTATTTTGTTGTCATAACAACAAAATGAAATCAGCAATAATCATAACATTCTACTTAAAAGCCCACAGGTTATGAAGCCCTCATAAGTGGAGAAATATATTGGAAATATATTAAGAGTTTCCAATACCATAACAATTTCATATCCAATGTGAAAAAAAGGTTCATAAAATATTCCAAAATAGTAAAGCGAACACTCCTGAAAAACCCAAAGAATAAAATAATATAATTTGTTCTATCCACTGCAATCGAAAAATGTATCTAAACTCAACATAAAAATTGTTAGAACTACATCTAAATCAATAAATGACTTTATTAATATAAAAGGAAACAAAACAACCACACAAAAAAAATTGAAAGAGGAATTTATTTTATCACTGGTAAGGATTGCTAGAAAGAATATATTGGAGAAACGTCGTGAAATTTAGATAACAGGTTATATGAACACAAAAGAGATATTTTAAAAAAACACATTAAACGCATTAGTTGCTCACCATAACGAGGCTGAACACAATTTTGCAAGATAAATGGTCGAGCTATACGAAGTATTAATAATTTCGAAAAAGCTGGAAATTTTTAGAAAACATCGTAAAATAAAAATGTTTTCAAATAATACGCACCGACAAATCCAATTCATATAATACGACATCGGTTAAAATGGATAATATATAATCCATTCGTATTTCGCTTAGCAAAGTACAGATAGTTATCGCATTTCTAAATTTGACAGTTTAAGCACTGCGGCACACATTTTTAAGTACATTTTGTGGGCGTCGTAGATGGCTTCGATAAATATCAAGAAAATATTTTTTCAACTTCAAGATCTTTGCGGAAGTCACACATAAATAAAATAAGCAGATGATAAAATATTTTTTTCACTACAGATCTGAGTATATAGAGGAAAAGCCATTTCAATTGGAGACACATAGTACATTGAAGAAATTCTTCAAGTATATGCAATCATAGAAAATAAGCAATCCGCAAACATATATTTCTCTATCAATCAATTAATCTATCTCCGATTGAAATATCTATTTATCTTACTTTCATTCTATCGTCCATTAATTCTATTTCAGTAATTTCTATTTATTTTGTCTTTTTCAGCACGTATCTATCAATCTCTGTATGTATTCATCTAACTCAATCACTTGAGTTTATTTCTATTTATCTCCGACTATACATATTTTCTTTCTTTCATACTTCCTTTCGTTCTACTTTCCATTAATTCTATTCCAGTTATTGGTATTTATTTATATTTGTTTTAGCTCGTACATATATATATATATATATATATATATATCACTCTGTCTATCTATCTATCTACCTATCATACAATGTTCATAAATATATTTATTTTTTCCTATTCATGTATATTCGGCTGCTTCAGGTTGTTTCTATCTATCTATCTATCTATCTATCTATCTATCTATCTATCTATCCTTGTCCCTTCATTATCTATTTATCTATCTATCTATCTACATCATTCACATCATTTATTTCTGTCTCAGATTTTCCATATGTATATTTCTTTTTTCTATTCATCTACATTCGCCTGCTTCAGCCTTTAAATATATTCCAATCCATCTATCTATCTATCTATCTATCTATATATATATATATATATATATATATATATATATAGAGAGAGAGAGAGAGAGAGAGAGGGAGAAGGAGAGGGAGAGAGAGCCATCTATTTTTTAAAGTCAAATCAGTTAAAAATAAACTCACTTAATTCGACATTTTTAGTAAATCATTTTGCCGTCTTATCTTTTCGAGTAACTTAGCAGGTGAACTTATATAAGATTCACTCATATATATTCACTCATTCATATATATATATATATATATATATATATATATATATATATATATATATGTATATATATATATATATATATATATATATATATATATATATATATATATTATTTAAACTACCATTATATCAAAATACATAAATATAACTACCTATCTCTATCTATATAGCTCAATATATGTTTCTTTTTTTCTCACTCTCTCTCTCTCTATATATATATATATATATATATATATATATATATATATATATATGACGTACATATATTTCTATCTAATAGATACATACATAAGTAGAATATTCTTATGATTTACTAAATGAATCTGCCCATCTAATGCTTTCCAAATGTATTCGGCGCATAGATCGTTTTATTAATATATTCAATCCGAATTTAATTCTGTTATCTTTATCGTCACATCTTAATGCCTAAATTAATATTAGTAGAGTGTTTATATTATTGATCATTAAATCTTCCTGTATTTTATTACTTCATTATAATGACATTCTCTCAGTATTTGATCTCCCCTGCCCTTATAGCTCCTTCTCTATTTGACTCTACAAACATAAATTTTCTGTTCCCTTCGATTAAGATATCTTCTTTACTTAACTGGTATTTTCGAGTATATTTATTAGAAAAAGTTTATCCTGTTATTCACATTCGATGCCTTTCGTTTACAATGTTCTATGCTGTTAGCTTGGATTTAGATCAGTAAACTAAGAAATAATCCCTGAAATGCCATATAACATCAATCATCCAAAATGGCGGATATGCATTGTGATGTAATGGATATCAGCTCGGATTGAAAACTCGGAGTTCGAATTCCAGTCGAGTTTATTATATTTATTTAAACACAAATAACCTTGAGAACGGTGTGAATCCATCTCTTCCTCCCTCGACACAGCTATAGCAGGACAGTCTAGCTTCTTTAGCCTTGGTTGCCAACCAGTCTACCGCTTAAAGAAATGTTATCCTCAGAGAAAAATCTACCTCGTCAGTCATGTATCTAAATATGCATTATCACAATTTAATCTGTATAATTTCATCACAGTTGAAGGAGACATCTGGTTCTGCAGAAGGATGGTGAGAATACCATGAATGAAACGTGAAATCTTGAAAAATCACTGTACATTATACTCAGAATAAGAAAGAGGCAACTCACGAGAAAGGAGGACTTGAGATATGTGAGATACAGAATTTATACTGAAGCTGCTCTTTAAGTAACCGCTATCCGGTGCTATAACATGTGCGACATGTTAAGGCCGCTTCACGTCGGCTGATAGCTGGATCGTCTTCGACAGCTTGTAGAATGTATTCTTCCTGATCAGGCGTACAAGCGGATCTTGTTCTTTCTCGGTCTATAATAGGCAGTGGGAAACTAGCGAGCTTATATGAATGGATAGTGGGTGGACTGGTAAAAATAATATTACTAAGAGATACAAGGAGAAGAAGTTGTGGAGGTCTAACCTTGTGAGACACAGCACATAAAAGCAGAACATGGAGACGGACATTACATTTTCTGAATATTTTCTCTTAAAGCATTCTGTGAATGTTTTCGATATTTCTTATGTTTTGGCATAGCCGAGAGGGATATGATTTGGATTGATGTTTTAGCGAATCCGTTTTCCGTCTGTCGTAACTAAAATGATTATTCCATCAACATGTTTTCGTTTGTGATAATATTTCGTTTTAGATCAAGCGGCTTTTTTTTTTGTTTTTAAATTTTTCCTTCCGGCATAAAGTTTGTGGTTATGCTTTATTTCATTTATTCAAGAAATGACTTTCCTGACAAGACTAAATCTGCTGTGAAGTTCGCACTGAGTTGTGAAACTGACAATATCCATGCGGTGTTGATTCCTTACTTAACACTCTCTATATCGGTAAACACTCTAGTAAAGCTTTTTAGTACACATCGCTATAAATATCGCAGATATTAAACATTACACACACACACATACATATATATATATATATATATATATATATATATATATATATATATATATATATATATATATATATATATATGTGTGTGTGTGTGTGTGTGTGTGTGTGTGTGTGTGTGTCTGTGTGCGTTTTGGTGCGTGTACGCGCGTGTGTGAGAATGACAGGTGGACATTATAGTCAAGACCTAGCAGCAACAGTCCGCTACATGCTTAAACGCAATCAGTAAGTCTTATGTTCATATCCTGAAGATCGAGTTTAAGGAGAAAACATAATCTATCGCCTATAAACTCAATGTCCAATTTTAGACTTTTATTTGCATGCGTTCGATTCCTCATATTGAGCACATTAACCATCTATATATGTGAATATATATATATATATATATATATATATATATATATATATATATATATAAATATAAATATAAATATATATATATACATATATGTATATAAAATATATATGTATGCATATATGTATAAATGTAAATATATATATATATATATATATATATATATATATATATATATATATATGTATATGTCTTTTATTATAAATATATACATGTATATGTATGTGTATAAATATATACATATATGTATGTGTGTGTGTAGAAATGAATATATATATTATGTTTTTGTGTGTAGATATATATATATATATATATATATATATATATATATATATATATATATATAGAGAGAGAGAGAGAGAGAGAGAGTTGTAAGGTTTGCTATATTTATTTAGGTAAATATAAAAGTGAACATGACGTCAACATTCAGAGGCGACAGGCTGTTTCATGCTAGACGCAATTGTCGACCTGACGATTGCGTCGAGCATGAACCTTTCCCTATAATTATAGCACACTTATATATATATATATATGGGAGAAATATGAAACGTTTACAAATTTAACAGGTTTCGTTTTTATTTAAGCTTCATTAAAATTATTTTTTAATGAATTATGGAAAACAAATTTTCGGTACTTTTAATTCTACGCCATTTTTTTTTATTAGTCTGGTAGAGCTCTTTTTTGTGTGGCGTGAATGAGTTGGTGTGTATTTGCGTGTGTATTCTTGATTTATAGTGGTCAATTTTATGTCGCTCTAGTAGCCTCTGTGCATCATTTTTGAAGATGGTTGAGTGATGTATGTGTTTTTTTTATTGTTGTAAGACTTGCGGTATTGGGTAAAGCTATGTGTGCGTTTGTCACTAGTGGGTATCATTGCTTCTGACAGATAGAGTCCTTATCTTGACAGTAGCGCTGGGAGCTAAAGACGTACGAATACATATCGTGTATATACACAGACACACAGACACAGACACTGACACACACACAAACACTGACACACACACACACACACACACATATATATATATATATATATATATATATATATATATATATATATATATATATATATATAATAAAGAAAAAAACAGCAAGATATATAATCCGGTGTTCTTATAGATATTTTATTTTTACAAAAAATAGTGCGCAATGTAAATTTACAGAGCATTAATATTATAATTAATTGATTTAAAATATGTTTTTTTTCTCTACACAGTTCTAACCATGTTTCAAAAATGGAAGCTGAAAGCTAAGAAATTAATTTTGTGATTAAATTAAAGACATTAGTTCCATTTCATCCTCAAGCGAATTTTGGAGAAACTTTTTAAAATGAAATGGAACTAATGTCTTTAATTTAATCACAAAATTAAATTCGTGGCTTTTAGCTTCCATTTTTGAAACATGGTTAGAACTGTGTAGCGAAAAAACATCTTTTAAATCAAATAATTTTAATATATATATATATATATATATATATATATATATATAAAGACATTTTTTTTTTTAACGTTCTTTTTTTTTTAGTTTATTTAGTAAATGCTTTGTTTATAATAAATAGTATTAAATAACATTTACCGGCCTGAATGTCTATGAAAATTTCTCGGACATTCAGGCCGGTAAATGTTATTTAATACTGTTTATTATAAACAGAACATTTACTTAAATACTTGTAGCTATAAAAAAGAACGTTAAACATAAAATGTCTTTTAATAAATAAATTGTCGGATTTTTGTCCATTTCTTTTATATATATATATATATATATATATATACATCCACGATACGCATTCGTACGTCTTTAACTCGCAGCGCTACTGTCAAGATATATATATGTGTTTGTGTGTGTGTGTGTGTGTGTATTATATATGTATTTATACAGTCAACGACGGAATGATTCGTAGACCTAATTTTGAATTTTATTATCCATTTTTTTTAGAATCTAATGCCCGTATGATGCCAGGTTTGGTGTATTTAACTTTGTTTTCTGAAAATTGACTTTTATCTTCAATCTTTTTTTTTTTTTTTTTGCTTAACAAAAAAAACTGGCATTATATGGGTATTAGATTCTGAGAAATTAATAAAATGTTCCAAAATTGATGTGTGTACGAATAATTTCGTCGTTGAGTATATATATATATATATATATATATATATATATATATATATATATATATATATATATAGCTTTATTGTTTACGTCAATGTTAAGTTAAAATATACAAATAAATCTGCAAGAAAATATATCTCTGTTATTTCATGAAACCGAACAAGGAAGTAACTGGATTCGCAGATATTCACTATATAAATTTTTTTCCCTAGAAACCCTGAAAACTGCAAAGATAAAAGTGAAGCTTTTGTTAATGCGCATCATAAGGACATATATTTATTTATTTCGAGAGAGGGTGTG